CAGGCTGCCTCAGCATGTGCTGACCGAGCGGCGTCGCATCCGTCAAGACTTTGCCAACAGAATCCCTCAGGTGATGTCCGGGGCTTGCAAACCATCGATAAACATGTGCTGCAGCAGTCCAATTGCTCCCCTTGGACATATGACTTGAATGACTTGCCGGACCTGTGTGCTGTTTCAGGGCGATTCTGAGTAAAGCTACTAGCGCAATACCGTGAGCACAGCGTCCTGAACAGCTGTGACCCTCGGGTCAACGGAATGCCATGTGTAACAACCACCAGAATCTCGACATGCGAGCTCAAGCAACTCTTGGGCTTTGGAAGTCTGTGCCAAGCTACCCGAAGATCAGGTGCACCACCTGGCCGTGCATGAATCTTAGGAATCTTGACCCTTATCCTGCCCACGCGAGCTCCTGCGAGTGGTTTTATTTAGACTCAGCTGTTTCAGCGTCAGTTTTGCAACTAGACATACCTACGACTACTATGCCTAGACGTACCCTGTAGCACTACTGTAGGACGCCTGCCTCTTTCTGCAACACATGAAGAATTGCTACAGCTCCAGAACCCTTTCATCAGCACGGAACCTGCAGCCCATGCATGCATTCTAAACCCTAAACCCTAAACCTTATGCAGGATTTAACTTGTAGCTGGGATGGGACTTAGGATTTGATCTCCGCGGTTCAGGTTTGAAGTGCTCCCTGATGAGTTGCGAAGCCCAAGGAATCCCAACACCTGCAGAACTCCAGCCGCAACTGCTTTCATGGACACGCCTTCACGGTTGCATCGTCCTGTGCGCATGTATTCAGACTCCAGCAATGCCGATTTAGGGTTTGGGGCTTGCAAAGGACCAAGCCATTGAAGCCACTCGCTGGGCGTTAGTGGGGATGTTTGCTTTCGCACCGACGGCTTAACACGGTTCTTCGGTATCCTACTCTGCAGCAAATTCCAAACCTTTTTGCTTGGTCTCTTCCAAACCGTAGAGTCCTCTATGTCCAAGCCGGGCGACACCATGCCTCCTAAACCCTCGCAAATCCTAGTCGCCAAGACCCAACCCCAAACCCTCTACCCCACTTTGAAGTAACCAAGGAGAAGAAAGTATAGACTTTGATTTCATAATGGCTCCGTTAAGGAACAAGTAAAAAAAAGTATTCATGCATGGTACTCCAGACCCCAGTCTGCCAAAACTCATTAGGGTTTAGGGTTTAGGGTTTAGGGTTTAGGGTTTAGGGGAGTTTCAGGCTTGCAATCTAGGGGCAGGGGAATCAAGCTGTGTGGGCCATGCAGTCGACGTCTAGGAGTCTGCCTTCTGCTGACTGTGTCTCAGCAAAGCAGAGGAATCCTACTTAAAGGATCATGGGACTTAGTAACTATATAAGGCGGGGTTTAGGGTTTAGGGTCTAGGGTTTAGGGTTTAGGGTGCTTAAGGATCATGGGACTTAGTAACTAAGGTTATTATTAGGGTAACTATACTTCTAGCTACTTATAACCCCAATTAAGGTACTTATAACCATACTTACCAAGTCCCATGATCCTCCAAGTAAGTAGGCTGCAAACCTACATTACATGTCTAGGGCTGGAGTTTGGAGCTCAGGGACTCTTATGCTCATGTGCTTCCTTTGCAAATGCTTAGATTTTCACGTGCAGTTTCAGCGGCAGCATCCGCCAATCACACTGGATACCCTAGGAATCGTTCGAGAAACGATCCCCGAACGCCCGCTAGAAGCCCCAAATCCAAAAACTCCAGCAGCCTATCGCCGGCTAGAAGCCCAAATCCAAAATCTCCGACAGCCTAAAGACTTCACCTCGGTAGGAAGCCTACAGCTTTCATGGGCCCTGGGCAGTCACCGCTCGAACGGAGAGATCGGAAAGACCTCCAGGCTACATACTTTGAGACCCCGAATCCCCCTACAGTAAAGCCCCTAAAGTCCCCTAAAACTCCTGAAGCCTAAAGCCCTTAAAGCCCCTAAAGCCCCTAAAGCCCCTAAAGCCCCTAAAGCCCCTGAAGCCTAAAGCCCCTAAACACCAAGCCCGAAGCCTTTCCCTGACCGTCTCAAGCCCAGAAACCCCGAGTGCGTCCTCGTAGATGAGGAGCCGCTTCTTTGCCCTGGTCACAGCAACATAGAGCCTGCTGGCAATGCAGTGCCGGCGTCTTCTTAGGGGTATATGGGCCTTATTGTGGAAAGGGTCACATGTACCAAACATTCCTTTATTGTACCCTGATTTGGTTTTCCTTGGAACAATAGAATGCAAAGTGGGGCTTTCAGGCAAACCGTGCTGATAGCACTGAGAGCTGGGCGCGGTTGTGTTGTCAATCTACAGGCATATGTCCGAGGCCGAATTAGTGGCCGCAGAAGTCGTGGTCGCAGCGGTTGCAGCATCAGCAGCAGCAGCAGCAGCAGCAGCAGCAGCAGCAGCAGCAGCAGCAGTAGCAGTAGCAGTAGCAGTAGCAGTAGCAGTAGCACTAGCAGTTGCAGTTTCTACGACGACGACGACGACGACGACGACGACTACTACTACTAGTACTACTAACAGTAACAGTACCAGTGCCAGTACCAGTACCAGTACCAATAACAGTACCAGTACCCGTACCAGTAACAGTACCAGTAACAGTACCAGCACCAGTAACAGTAGCAGTAATAGTACCAGTAACAGTACTAGTTTGCAACCGTAAATCCTAACTTTGAAACCCAAAGCCCCGAGCCCCTGCGCTTTTGAAACCCCTAAACTCCCCAAGACCCTAAACTGCACAAATAGGCTACCTACTTTTTATATAGCAATTCCTAACCATGAAACTAGGTACCTGAAAAAAGGGGTAGGGTATGACCCTACAGGTAGACTGCACAAACCTTCAGCTGGGCAGCCCGGGTCTCTTCAGCTCCAGGCATGCGATGGCCTTATCCGCATTCGCAGACTCCTTCGAAAAGTTCGTGTGCGACTGCAGCAGCTGCGTCCAGTTCTTGTTATCCGAGTCCTCGGTGCGTTGGTGCTTTATAGGGTCATTTGGGGTTCAGGGTTTGGGCTTAGAGGTTAGGGTTAAGGGTTCTCAACGCCGGGGTCTACACAAGTTGGGTGTATAAACACCAGAAATGCCAGAAACACGACGAATGAAGCCCATCTCACGTCTTCCTACGTTTAGTGTCTCTTTCTCTTCGATTATTCGTTAATGCAAAACCGGGCAGAGAGCTTGAAGTTTGACGGACAAGGCTTGAGAAAAAAAAAAACCTAAACCCAAAACCCCTAAACCCTAAACCCTCAACCCTTCTTCGAGCTTTCGGGTCTTCGATCTTCGACCCTGGACCTGAAAACCCAGAGGGGGAACCTTAAGCACAAAGGCCCGCAGAACCGAGCATCTTTGATGAAGTTGAACATGAGGACGTCTGTGAACTCAAGACCTGCATTTAGGGTTTAGGGTTTAGGGTTTAGGGTTTGGGGTTTAGGGTTTAGGGTGCAGTAGTTGAAGCTGAGAATCCTGAAACGACAACCCCAAGGTTCGGAATTGGGTTTGGAGCCACGGTGCCACAAGATGCACTCAACTCAACGAAACCCGACTGCAGCAGGGAGAGAGGAGAGTCAACCACGCAGAAAAGACAGAGACTTATAGAGGGAGAGGGAGAGAGAGAGAGAGACAGAGAGAGAGAGACAGAGAAAGAGACAGAGAGAGAGACAGAGAGAGAGACAGAGGGAGAGAGAGACAGAGAGAGAGAGAGGGAGGGAGAGCGAGAGAGTAAAGAAGCATGGACACGCCTCAGGAGTGAAAAGAACAAGTGCACAAATGAACATAGCCATATATTTCCCTAAAGTTTTCCACTTCATTGGCATGGCACCCTTCGCAGCGATCTCGTCCATCATCGTTCCTAGATTCTCTGCCGTCATGACGATGCCGGCATCCCTTCCGGACGTACATTCGGCAGCGACCTCCCGACAGCTGCAATGGCTTCGGCTTGTGCGGTTTGCGTCTTTCGGCCTTCGATGCCTGGGGATCCTTCGGGGCTTTGGGCCTTCTGTGGTTCGTTTTCAATTCCCGCAGAGCTGCGGCAGTGTCTAGTTGCGATCTGGATCCGAGCTTGCTTTCTGCACCCGCAAGACCAGAAAGTCAGCAAGCAGGCACATGTGCTGCAGCCCTAAACATGCAAAGCCTTGCAGCCTCAGAGAAGCAAAGGCTCCGGATGCTTCGAAACCGCAAACAAAGGCCCAGCTGTAAAGGCCCACCAAATCCGTCGCACACTACGAACCGAAAATGTGCCGAAGCTGAACCGCCAGACCCCAAACCCTAAACCCGGAACCCTTAACCCTCAACCTGTTGCCTTCAGGAACTGGTGCTTCTGCTCCTCGCTACGAACAATCACCTGACAGAGGCCCAGGGCAGGGTCACTGCGAGCCGTCTACTACTTGGAGGATCATGGGGACTTAGTAACTAGCCCTAAGGGTCCATGTACCCAAATAGTATATACTTTAGCCTCAATGTAGTCCCTATATAGGTACTTTGGGGCCAAAGTATATACTATTTGGGTACATGGACCCTTGGGGTAGGGTCATAAGTGAGGTAACTATCGTTATAACCTCAATTAGGATACTTACAACCTTACTTACTAAGTCCCATGATCCTCCAAGTAGGGCACGCTCTCACACGAGGTCCGGTCCATCTAGCATGATAACAAATATACTACAGTACTTAGAGCACGCAGACTGCACCTTGACCAAAACCTATTTCCCCCAACATCTTGCAGGTGCCATGTCAAACCTCGACATCAAACACTAATGACAAAAGCCTCTCAACCTAGAAAACCAGCCCGAAACCCACAACACACATCCTGAAGTTCTACTCCACCCGGCACCCACCCTACCCACTAAACCCTGGACACTAAAACCCCCTCGGTTTGGGACTTTCCGAAAATAAGGGGTACCTTATTTTGGTGTCCTTATAATAAGGATCCTACAATTTATGGTACTATATATTAGGGTCCCCTATTTTCGGAAACCCCCATTTCCAGGATGCCACGTGGCAAGCTGGTTGGCGCCCAGCAAGCACGTCGACCGCGAGCTCCGCTTTGAGTCCAGCTCGCAGAGGAGTCTCGACAGCTCCTTACCGCAAGCTGTTGTGGTTTTTTGCTTTTAGGGTTTAGGGTTTAGGGTTTAGGGTATAGGGTTTAGGGTTTAGGGTTTTTTTAAAGGGCTCTGTTCGTCTGCACGAAGTCTGGCTAAGGCGCAAGCTGTTTATTGGGGTCCAGCGTTTAGGGTTAGATTCATGGTGTGCGGTTTAGGGCCAGTTTAGGCGTTTAGGGTTTAGGGTTTACGGTTTCGCGATCTCTGACTGATATGACCCTGGTGTTACACACGCCTAGCCGATGTTGAGAGGTGTAGAGCTTGAGTACACGTATATCCCAGACACTAAAGCCCAGAAATGGCTTAGAGAGTCTTCTGTTTGGGACATGGCGCAAGCCAACAAAAACCCGAAAGCCTGCAAGTGCTGCCAGAAGGTCATCGAAGTTGAGGCACTCGGGAGGTGGACCAGCATTCTGGCCCATCCTGGGTTTAATATAAGGGCCTTAATAATTGGAATAGGGTTTTAGGGTCCATTATACTATATTTCTTAATAAGGAACCCACCAAAATAGTATAGGCACCTATATTAGAGTTTGCGGCTTTCTGCTTTCCCGGCTGGCATCCGACTTGCAAGGTCCTTGAACACCTGTCACTGACTTACACATGGGCGCGGCTGATACATGCTGTATGCAGAATGCTTTTGCATTCCATTCTCAGGCCGCGTGTGCGGACGAGGATGGCTTGTTCGGAGGTGCCGGTGGCATGAAGCATCTACGAACTCGGACTCGCGTTGGTGTTTTGGGCTGGCGGCTTAGAATTGAAGGTTGAGGCCTCAAGTATCAGAATCAGGTTTCAGCAGCATCGCAGCTTGCAAGAAGTCCTGCCCGACAACCCTAAACCCTAAAACCTGAAGTGGTCTGGGCAGTAAGTTGTTGTTGAAGCCTTGAGTTTGAGTTTCGAGGCAACCTTGCGGATTGTTGCTTGGGAGATTGAGATGAAAACCACAGCCAGTTTCATGCTTGTTTAGGGTTTAGGGCTGGGGGTTTATAGGGTCTGTTGAGTTTAGAGGGTAAAAACTCGCTGTCGAACTCCTCGTGCTTCTTTAGAGATAAGTGGGCGGCACCTCGCCAATCTACCTTGGGGTCATCAAGATGGCCTTGGTCTCTCTTTTCATGGGAAGTTTCAGCTCTTCAGGAGTCCTAAAGCCCGAACCCCTAAAGCCTAAGCCACGGTATAGGGTTTACCCATAGGCCCCATGGTAGTTCCTTTTTAGGATTACCTTATAGGGTTGAAAATATGAACCCCCAAAAGGAACTACTATGGGGCCTATGGGTAACCCCTAAGCCACTGCGTCTTGAGTAAACCCCTAAACATCTGAACCTCTAAACTGGAGCAAATAAAAGTCCAAGCAGCGCTGGAGGCAGCTTGTCGATCGTCATCGGGAAGAGCCTCGGTTCGGACTTTGGATTTGGGGCTTGGGGTTTGGGGTTCAGGGGATTAGGGATTTAGGAGTTTTGGTGTTTAGGGGATTAGGAGTTTTGGTGTTTAGGGGATAAGGAGTGCTTAGGGCTTCGAGTTTGGGGGTTTAGGGTTTAGGGTTTGGGGGTTTGGGGGCTTGGGGTTTAGGGTTTCGGGTTTAGGGCTCGTCCCCTGCCTGAATCCTAAACGGTTTGGGCAGTGCCGGCAACGACTTCTGGTCGTAACCGCAATGAGACAGCGACCCTGCTTTTGCAGAGTTTATAAAGAAAAACCGATGCCCCTAAACTCAGCTAAGCCCTGGACATTGCATGTCAGAACCTCCGGGCTCAGCCGTGGGGTGGCTTTGAGAGTTTAGGTTTGGTAGCAACTTCATGCGAGGCTTGTTGATGAGTTCTGCGTGCTGCAATGCCACACCCTAGACAGACACCTCATCCTCAAAACTTCCCGGTGTCTTTGTCTACCGAGCCTAAGCCTTAAATTGCAAAGGCTCTCAACCTTGGAGCCTTAAACTTTAAACCCTACACCCTGCCTAGACCCTAAACCGTGAACCCTAAACCCCAAACCCTAAACCTTAAACCTTAAACTTTAAACCCTACACCCTAGACCCCCCAAACCGTGAACCCTACACCCTAAACCCTAAACCTTAAACTGTAAACCCTACACCCTAAACCCAAACCGTGAACCCCTTTACCCTAAACCCTAAACCTTAAACTTTAAACCCTACACCCTGGACCCCAAAACCGTGAACCTTACACCCTAAAAGTTAAACTTTAAACCCTACACCCTAAACCCTAAACCCTAAACTTTAAACCCTAAACACCCTAAACCCCCAAACCGTGAACCCCTTTACCCTCGTCGCTTCGGCAGCCTCCACAGCATAAGGTTGAACCCGTGGGCCCCTAGTATGGGCCCTTCAGGCTGGGATCCTTATATACCTACTATATACCCTATATGTACCCTTAAGGGTCCCTAGAAAGGCCTAAGGGTCCATATTGGGGGCCCATACTCCAAACCTTGACCCTAAACCCTAAACCCTAAACCCTAAACCCTAAACCCTAAACCCTAAACCCTATGTGTACCTTTAAGGCCCATACTACCCTCGACACAGCCGAGGCTCTCCTCCAAGAGGCTGACGATGTGGTTACTGGCCTGCATGCAACAAAGACCAATGCAGGGGCCTGTTTAGGCTTTATAGGGCTTATAGGGTTGATAGGGTTGATAGGGTTTATAGGGTTTATAGGGTTTATAGGGCTTATAGGGCTTATAGGGTTTATAGGGTTTATAGGGCTTATAGGGTTTTTTTATAGGGCTTATAGGGCTTATAGGGTTTATAGGGTTTATAGGGGTTTATAGGGTTTATAGGGGTTTATAGGGCTTATAGGGCTTATAGGGTTTATAGGGCTTATGGGGCTTATAGGGCTTATAGGGCTTAGGGTTTAGGGTTTAAGGTTTATAGGGTTTATAGGGCTCATAGGGCTTA